GAGGGTTTAGCAGTTGATGCTTGAAGAGTAAGGCACATGAGAGTTTGGAGTTCTGTGAACTTCTCAGACTCCTTTACCCCTTCTGTGTGCTCCCAGTGAAATCTCTTGATGTGTTCAACGCTTTCTTCAACAACTCTTCTTTGTTTTGGTGGTTCACAAGCCAGGGGCTCCTATGCATCAGTGTAACTGTTTGATTCCTCAGGCCTACTTTGAGAACACCCCTAAAGCACTTCCGCCACACTCCGAGAAGTGAGTTCTGGGTGGATCATCGCTTCGGGAATTTAGATTTTGACATACAGAAGACACCCTGAGTATTCAGTGAAAAGCCTGTTTTCTCACATGGTTCTGTGGAAGGAATCAGTAACGACCTAGAAATCAGTTTCTGAGTGAGCAGCACAAAAAGATCATCCACATATTCTAACCCCTGTTTTTGGTTTTCAGGTTGAAGTGAATTTGGTTCTGGGTTGAACAGTGTCCTGTCTGTTCTGTAAACTTTCTTTACATGTGTGGCTAATTTGCTGGAGAAAAGGTACTTTGGAGTAAGGAAAATGAAGAAGAAATTTGGTGGAATGACTCAAATGTGCTGGATCCCAGTCTTCGTTGAGAAATGATCAAAAGTTGGATAGGACCATGGTTAAGGTCACTACATTCATAGTGCAACACTCCCAACAAACACCATTGGAGTTGCAGCTTAGATTTTTGTACTGACCTGTCCAGTCTTGAACCATGGCCTTTTGACTGAGAAGACCCTTCAAAACTTATGACCGTGATATTAACAACAAAAATGAGGACATGATGACATGTTGAATCGTTATTTGCTGTAGAGGAAGAGGTCAACATGCTAGACTTGCCAGGGAAACTATTGTTGAATAAGAGACAGGGACTGAACAAAATTAACGTGAGCAAGTTAACGGTAATGGAAAAATGCATGACCGTAAAGAATGACAAGTTGGCAGGAGAAGATGGTTTTCATCCCAGAGTTTTAAAAGAAGTAAATGAAAATATTACAGATGGTTCAACTATAATTTCAAAAAACTTGTTGATTCACTATCCATTCATGTAGTTTAGAAAATCGTGCTTGTCATTCCATTATTTAAAAATATGGCCAAGGGAAAGCACAGTATTATAAATCAGTTAACCTAGCATCTGTTGCTGAGAAACCTCCTAGAGTCTGAAATTAAGAATGGGGTGACTGAGCATCTTGAACATTTCAGTTGATCAGAGACAGTCAGGGTGGATTTGCAAAGAAAGAAAGAAAACTCTGAAAATACTCAGCAAGTCAAGGCGTCATTTGCAGAGAGAGAAATTAGGGTAGAATTTTGGCGGAATGTAATTTTTCATATTTCCAGCTCTTCCAACTTCCATTGAATTTGAGCATCTACAGTAGATTTCACACTTTTCAGAGTACGTAATACCTGATATTGATTTTTTTTTGAGGAGTGACGTATTTAGTTGACAAGGGAGTGTATTCAAATTTTAAATGCAATGTGTAGAACCAGTTAATTACCTCAAGCGGAATTTGACCAACAATTAGCTAAGCATCATTTGCAGATATTTTCATTGAGAGTTGCACCCTCTGAGCTTCAACAAGTTATCTCATACAATGTCCAATGCTGGATCATATCCCTGAGGTACAGCACACATGCTATTTTGCTCTCACAAGTACTCTCAGTTGCTGGAACCTTCTGGGTTTCATGCCACCAGCATTATATTTAAATTTCAGCCCTACACCAGGTCAAACACTGAATACTAAGAGATAGTAGGAACTGCAGATGCTGGAAAATCTGAGATAACAAGGTGTAGAGCTGGATGAACACAGCAGGCCAAGCAGCATCATAGGAGCAGGAAGGGTCTAGGCCCGAAACATCAGCCTTCCTGCTCCTATGATGCTGCTTGGCCTGCTGTCTTCATCCAGCTCTACACCTTGTTATCACTGAATACTAAGAAATGTCTTTCACAGTATTGCTACACAATTCTAAAGGAAGTGACTGAGAAATAGAAGTTGTCATCTCACTTGGTCATGTTGACTCTCAGTGGACAGGGTGGTGGAGAGATAGGCTGCCCTCTTCCTCCTGACCTACAGAAGAGACCACGGCACCAGACCTGCCAGTCTGGTCTGAAGTTGTCACCCAGATCAATGTGGTGTCAAGGAGGGTGTATCTGCATCTGTCCAGGGAATGCTCAGCATATCTGAGCTTCCTAGCATGAACGCTCCTGGAGTTGCCCAGCCAAAACTCCAAGGCCCACAGTCTCCACTATAGAGCAGGCTGCCTCCACCCCAACCTGAGAATGCACCGAGAGATAGTGAGAGGCAGAGGAAGAAGAAAACATGCTGGTGGCTCATGGGTGGCAAAAGTGAAACATATTATAAGTACATCACCTTCTAAAATATATGTTCTCTTTTCATCATCAGCTCTGTGTGCAACTGTGACTTTACCTCGCAGCTACAAAAGTGAAGGAATGGAGGCTAGTTATCCTTAGTGCTATACATTGTTATAATTCTGTCTGAATGACAGCTATTTATCCATAGTGTCTACACTTGCGTGAAACTTTGTCATGATTGAACAGTGAAGACTAGATGTCGTGAAGGGTTCCATCAGTTTTAACCTTAACTTTAATTAATAACTGGGAAAGTGTAAAAAGGTCAAAGTAGTAAGCTGTTTTTGCAGTTGGGTTTTAACAGAAGATGCTGACCTTAGCATTAAAACATTTACCATCATGGCAGGATGACTTCACACAACTCAGTTCCATTGAAGGGGGTGCACAAAGAAGCCCTGTCTATTTAGCTTTAGCCAATGTTGCTGTTTCCCATGAAGAATGTTCTCATTTTCCCACTTGATACAAAGCTGTGGCTCTCATGGCTCTTCATCGGCCGTCACAGAGCCTCGTTGCGTCTTTTGGTTGTCTGGAGCAAAGCATATAAGGATTAAGCGGAGTCCTTTGTATGTACTTCAGTGAACTCCTATACATTTTCTGCAGGGAACCTGATGCGGACGAGATATCTTTTTGCCTCATTGGAAGAAGGCACTGCATTTCAGATATGCTGGACATCATGACATGATGTTACAACTGCCAGCTCTAAACAGAGTATAGTGATGCTGCTGCTGTCTCACCTGTGCAGCATTCCATGAAAGATGAGCGACTGTGGCTTCCCTGTATCTTTGCTGTGTCATGAGGGTACCTGTGGCTGGAAACTCCACATCCACTGGGGCTTGAAGCTGATGGTGAGATTCCAGACCCATGTGTTTCTCATCAATTCACATAGACACTCTTACTGTAGCCTGTACAGAGATGACCACAGACTGTGTGCTTGGATCAATTGGGGTCAGTTCTAATGAGTCAATGGGGAAAAAATCAGAAACAAAGCAGCTCCTCAGAAATGTGATCATTTAGCAGTTGCTTGAATGACATTCAAATGACATCTTCAAAACACTGGAACATGGAGGCCTCTGACACAGAGGGCAGTTAGATGCCTCTACACGGACCTTTCACATTGTTGAATAGATTCAGACGTATGCTCTTCAAACCACTTGGCACACATACAAGAGGATATTGTAAATGTGGTGACAAGAATGAGAATGTCTCCTCCCCATCCCAACTCTCATGTCACCCAAGAAAGACACATTTCATGTAGAATAATTGTATGGACATTTCATAGACCTAGATGTGAAGTGAGCAAATCCTGAACCTTGTGCAGGCTATAAATCCTTGGAAGGGCACTTTTTTTTTAAATTATTCATTTGTGGGATGTGGGCATGGCTGGCTGGCCAGCATTTATTGCCCATCCCTAGTTGCCCTTGAGAAGGTGATGGTGAACTGCCTTCTTGAACCGCTGCAATTCACCTGTTGTGGATTGATCCACAATGCCCTTAGGGAGGGAATTCCAGGATTTTGACCTAAAAGCAGTGAAGGAACGGCAATATATTTCTAAGTCAGGATGGTGAGTGGCTTGGAGGTGAACTTGAAGATGGTGGTGTTCCCATGTATCTGCTGCCCTTGTCCTTCTAGATGGAAGTGATTGTGAGTTTGAAAGATCCTGTCTGAGGATTAATGGTGATTTTTTTGTGATGCAACATGTCAATAGTGTGCACTGCTGCTACTGAGCATCGATGGTGAAGGGAGTAGATGCTTGTGGATGTAGTGCCAGTCAAGCAAGCTGCTTTGTCTTGGATGGTGTCAAGCTTCTTGAGTGTTGTTGGGGCTGCACTCATCTAGGCAAGTGCGGAGTATTTCTTCATATGTTTATGTGATGAGTTGAGTTTCTGGTCAATGATAACCTCCAAGATTTTGATATTGGGGAATTCTGTGCTGGTAACACCAATGAATTTCAAGGGCTGGTGGTTAGATGGTCTCTTCTTGGTGATGGCCATAGCCTAGCATTTGTGTGGCGCAAATATTACTTGCCACTTATCAGCCCAAGCCTGGATATTGTCCAGTTCTTGTTGTATTCGAGCCTGGGCTGCTTCAGTATCTGAGGCATCATGAGCGGTGCTGAACATTGTGCAATCATCGGTGAACATCCTCACTTCTGACCTTATGATGAAGCAGCTGTAGTTTGTTGGGCCTCAGACACTACCTTGAGGAACTTCTGCAGGTATGTCCTGGAGCTGAAATGATTGACCTCCAACAACCACGACCATCTTTTTATGTATCAGGAATGACTCCAACCACCGGAGAGTTTACCCTGGATACCAATTGATTCGGTTTTGCTAGGCTGCCTTGATGTCACGCTCGGTCGAATGCAACTTTGATATCAAGGGCTGTCACTTTCACCTCACCTCTGGAATTCAGCTCTTTTGTTCATGTTTGAACCAAGGCTGTAATGAAATCAGGAGCTGAGTGGCCCTGGCCGAATCCAAACTAGGTGTCACTGAGCAGGTGCTGCTTGATTGCGCTGCTGATTACACCTTCTGTCACTTTTGATCATCAGTAAAAAGTAGACTTATGGGGCGCTAATTGACTGGGTTGAATTTATCTTCCTCATTATGTATGGGACATACCTGGACAATTTTCCGCATTGTCGGATAAATGCCAGTGTTGTAACTGTACTGGAAAGCTTGGCTAGGGGAGTGGCAAGTTATGGAGCACAAGTCTTCAGTACGAGTGCCGGAATTTTGTCAGGGCCTGTAGCTTTTGCAGTATCCAATGTCTCCAACCGTTTCTTGATAAGATGTGGAGTGAATCAAATTGGCTGAAGACTGGTATCTGTGATGCTGGGGACCACTGGAGGAGGCTGAGATGGATCATCCACTCAGCACTTCTGGCTGAAGGTTACTTTGAAAGTGTCAGCCTTATCTTTTGCACTGATGTTGAGCTCATGCATCATTTGAGGATGGGAATATTTGTGGAGCCTTCTCCTCCAGTGATTTGTTTAATCGTCTACCACCATTCACAACTGGATGTGACAGGATTTCAGAGCTTAGATCTGGTCTGTTGATTCTTGGATCGCTTAGCTTTGTCTATCACTTGCTGCTTACGCTGTTTGACATACGGGTAGTCCTGTTTGGTGGCCTCATCAGGTTGACACCTCCTCTTCAGGTATGCCTGGTGCTGCTCTTGACATGCCCTCCTGCACTCTGTATTGAACCAGAGTTGATCCCCTGGCTTGATGGTAATGGTTGAGTCGGGTATATGCCTGACTGTGAGGTTACAGATTGTGCTGGAGTACAATTCTGCTGTTGTTGATGGCTCATAATGCCTCATGGATGCACAGTTTAGATTTGTTTGATATCTGTCCCATTTAGCACAGTGATAGTGCCACACAATACAGTGTAGGTTATTCTCAATGTGAAGGCGGAACTTCGTCTCCACAAGGACTGGGCGGTGGTCGCACTTATCGCTACTGTCATGGACAGATGCATCTGCAGCTGGTGAGTGGTAAGGATGAGGTCCAGTATGTTTTTCCCTCTTGTTGGTTCCCTCACCACCTGCTACAGCACTAGTCTAGCAGCAACTCCTTTATAAATCAACCAGCTCGATCAGTAGTACTGCTGCCGAGTCGGCTTTGGTGGATGTTGAAATCCCCCACTCAGAATACATTTTGTGCCCTTGCCATCCTTAGTACTTCCTCCAAATGTTATTCAACATGGAGGAGTACCAAATCATCAGCTGACGGAGGATGGTATGTGGTAATCAGCAGGAGGTTCCCTTGCCCATGTTTAACCTGAAACCATGAGACTTCGTGGTGTCCGGAGACGTTGTTGAGGATTCCCAAGGCAACTCCCTCCCACCTGCATGCCACTGTGCTGCCACCTCTGCCAGGTTTGTCCTGTCAGTGGAGCGGGACATATCTAGGGATGGTGATAGTGGTGCCTGGGACAATGTTATACTCACAGAATTATGTCTTACAATGTCTGGCTGTTGCTTGACTAGTCTGTGAGACAGTTTTCTCAATTTTGGCACTAGCGCCCATATGTTAGTAAGGAGGACTTTGCAGGGTTGACAGGGATGTTTCTGCCCTTGTCTTTTCCTGTGCCTAGATCAATGCCAGGTGATCCATCCGGTTTCATTTCTTTGAGACTTTGTAGAGAATGGTAAAATTGAGTGGCTTGCTAGGCCATTTCAGAGAGCAGTTGAGAGTCAACCACATTGCTGTTGGTCTGGAGTCACATGCAGGCCAGACCAGGTGAGGATAGCAGATTTCCTTCCCTGAAGGACATTAGTGTCTGTGTTTCCGACAATCGGCAATGGTTTCATGGTTAACAGTAGATTCTTAATTCTGGAGGTTTTCTTTGAATTCGTGGCAAGATTCAAACGCGGGTCCCCAGAACATCAGCTGAGTTTCTGGATTAATAGTCTGGCAAAACACCACTAAGCCATTGCCTCCCCGAACAGTGAACTGTGAAACAGTGGCTGCATGTCATTACTTGCACTTCACAGCCATTAGTAGGATTAATTTGTAATGTTGAATGAAATGGCAAAGATTACTTTTGTCCAGGAGTTTTGGTCAAGACAATAGGACAATGCATGACATGAAACAGATGCCCTGAACCTTTTCTGTGCCTGTCTATTCAATTATTTTGTCCCTTGAAGAGCCTCACATTGCTCACAAGTACAGCCCACTCCCTAAGAGAAAAAAACAAATACTTACTGCATCCAATCTGGGTGTGGTAGCGGCCATTCTTTATTTTGATTGCATGCTTTCAGTTTCAATCAGGAAAGAGGCAGCATAGGTAGCACCTCACATCGTGAGTTGTTGGCCCCGCCTGGCAATCTAGCTGCCTGCATCCCCTCCAAGCATTCATGTTTCTTTCTGTCTTGCTCTCCCTGTCAACACCATCAACTTTGCTCTCACATACGTTTCCACCCATTTCTTTTGTTTAACTGCTCAGCTCCCCACATTACACTCTGAGCCCCTCACATGCAGTTTAGCTATGCTAAACATTGATACACGCTGTCTCGCATCAAACCCAGGGTAGTGTCGGATGTTTATGTTCCCCTCCTGCTCCAGTACTGTTTGTCTCACCATTCTCCATTGTCTCCCCACTTTTTTATATTGAGTTGACCCCTTCAGGATTGTTATTCCCAAATGCTGCCTCCAAACCACTCAATTGCCCTTCCCAGCGTCCTCACCACTGCAGTAACCCTGATGATCCCCTTTGACTTTGTTATCAGATCATCTGGACTGCCTGTGACCCACCCCCAAAAAACTTGAAAGAAATCCCTACTGATGAATGACCAGCCTCTGACTGATAGCTGTGTAGCTTCCTGATTGATATACCACTACTTCCGGGCCTGGTTGCAGTGGATCTGCGGGACTGGTTGTGGCCCGCTTCCTAGACCGTATTGATACAGACCCACTGACTCTTGATTACCCCAAGCACCTGACTCACTATAATCAATCCCCTGGACTGATACCAAACAGAGGGCTACTCTGCTGAGAATTTCAGATATGCCATTCGGCCACATAAGTGTAAGGAGTTCCTTCAGTCAGTCCCATAGTCCTAAATGCAAGAGAAGGGTTGCACACTATTAATAATCAGGTTATACTGAACCATAGAAATATATGCACATTTTGACCATTATTTGTGGGAAACTGTAGCCTTTTGGATTCTTGAAAGATATGCTGGCTTGAATGAGACTTGAGAGGAGATGGCTCTTGAGAAACTGGGTCTCCCTTCTATGTGAGCAATTGTAGCTTAAGTTGTTATTTTTATTTAAATAGCAGCAATTGATCAAAGAACTGACTGTCTTTGGCTATTACTTCATTTTTTCCATTGTTAAAAAACACAACTTGCATACTATAGGATTTCTAATATTGTCAATTTCCCAAGGCACCTCATGGGTACTTCACCAAAGACAATTTCACTGAGCCATGCAGGGAGATTTTAGGTAATATGACCAAAAATTTGACCAAAGAGCTAGATTCTAAGAAATGTCTTAAAGTGGGAAAGAAAGGTAGCCTAGCAGAAAGGTTTAAGTTAAGCTCGGCAACTCCTTCAATACTATATAACACCATTATTACTGATAATATTGAACTGTGTAGGTGTAATAATTTATAGAAGTAAACAAAATTTGCTGAAATGAATCATAATTTTATATGATATGCCAGTTTAAAGTATTGGCAAAGACCTGTCGCTCGGGTTGTGGATGAGGTTGTTGACTTGCTGGCCAAGCTGGCTTGTTTTTGTTCAAACATTTTGTCACCACGTTACTTGACATCATCAGTGAGGCCTCCGATGAAGCGATGTTACTCAACTCTGCTTGGAATTTATACTGTCCAGTCCGTTATGGTGAGTGCTGTCGTTTCCAGTTTTGATCTGTATGGGTTTATGTATGGCGTCCAATTCTATATGTTTGTTGATTGAAGTATGGGTGGAGAGCCATGCCTCTAGGAATTGCCGTGCGTGTCTTTTTTTGGCTTGGGCTACTGTGGTTACTTTGTCCCAGTTGAACTGATGACCTTCATTGTCTGAATGTACAGATATTAAGGAGAGTTCATCGTGCCATTTTGTTGCTAGGATTAAAGCAAGTTTGTTCTTCAACATGGTTTACAAAATACCATGCAACGACTGCCACAAACATTACATTGGACAGACAGGAAGGAAACTAGCCATCAGAATACATGAACGCCAGTTAGCAGCAAAACGGCACGATGAACTCTCCTTAATATCTTGTACATTCAGACAATGAAGACCACCAGTTTAAATGGGACAAAGTAACCATAGTAGCCCAAGCCAAACATAGACATGCACGGGATTTCCTAGAGGCATGGCTCTCCACCCATACTTCAAACAACAAACATATAGAATTGGACCCATATATAAACCCACACAGACCAAAACCGGAAATGACAGTATTCACCATAACAGACCGGACAGTATAAATTCCAAGCAGAGTAGAATAACATTGCTTCATCGGAGGCTCCACTGATGATGTTACCTAGTATGATGATGAAATGTCTGAACAAAAACAAGCCAGCTCGGCGAGCAAGTCAACAACCTCGTGATATGCCAGTTATCAAAATGAACCTCACTCAAGAACATTTCTTGACCTTTTACATGCACGAACATAATCAGAACCCATCTGATATGTACTCTACTTACACTGCCAAATGCAAAAACATAATGCACAGATCCTAGTATGACTGACTGAACTGAAGGATAAAGAAGGCAATGTCATTAACAGCAAATAATTGACCCTGCCTTAAGAGGCAAATATTTTTAGAAATCATTTGTTTTGATTTTACCAAGTGCATAATCTTCAAATGAAAGATTTGTGTTAAATGTGGTCCCTCTGTCGAATGTGCCTAATCCAGTTGGCAGTTGATGGCTCCAAAAGAAAATAGAGTGGATTTTCTTAGAATCAGTCTATAGTGGGCAGCCAGTATCTGTGTGCCCTTACAGTTAGCATTGAAGTACAGTAAGTTTACTAAAATATTGCTGTTACATTGCAGTTAAATCTGTAATGTACTAATAGGTGGTGTTAAAAGAACAACCTTTTTGAGTCAGTGAGACAATAAATAAATGCCACAATAAGATCAGGAAACAGAAACTGACAGAATGTTTAAATTTATGCCTACTTATTAGCTAAGTAAAACTATTTTATTGGTTTTATTCCCTTGTTTTGTTAGATGCTAGTTTTATAGTAATGCATAGCACCTTTTGTAAGTTTGCTTAATTTTATGCAGTAGCAATATTTTCTTTATATGTTGACAAAAGACACATTCTTTGTGTTTATGGGGTATTCTTTCCTTCAAGGCCAGCACAAAATCAAGTTTATCCCAGAAATGGTTGGCCCGATCTTGGAGATGACTCTTATTCCAGAAACTGAACTGCGAAAAGCTACAATTGCAATATTCTTTGATATGATGCAATGTGAATTTCATTCAACAAGAAGTTTCCAGAGGGTAAGTTAATTCATGGTAATAATGAAATCTATTTGACAATGACTTAATTACATTACATACCTGTAATTAAAATTTGCAATGCGAAGAAATATTTATGTCTGCAAATAAATATAGATACAGGTCTTCCAATATCCAGACTATTAAAGATTAGACGTAAGATGGGAGATGTGTGCAACAGGACCTCCATGAAGTCCTAGCATGTACATGCATACAAATTGCCTGGGAAGTTTAAACTCCTGATTGATTGATTTTCCATTTTCTAGAACCCTTCACATTAGTATTTGACATTGACCTCATTGTCAAAGACCAGAGCCAGATATGTAGGATTTACCTGTATTTGCATGCAGGAAATATTACACTACTTAACCTGATCTAACTGAGAAATTAGCATAACTGAGCTGACCACCTCGCTCAATTCACATACTCATTAGTACAGTGAAAGACCAGGACATTCGAAAACATAACTGAATAAGGCAGCTAGTGTCATGAAAAGAGAACATGTCCTGTCAAAACAAGTTTTCCACATTAGACAGGAGGTCACCTGCATATCTGTCAACTTGGTCTACTGTATCCGCTGCTCCCGATGTGGCCTCCTCTACATCGGCGAGACCAAGTGGAGGCTCGGACACCATTTTGTAGAGCATCTGCGCTCTGTTCACGACAAACGACAACACCTTCTGGTTGCAAACCATTTTAACTCCCCCTCCCATTCCTTGGGTGACATGTCCATCCTGGACCACCTCCAGTGTCACAATGACACCACCCGCAAACTGGAGGAGCAACACCTCGTATTCCACCTCGGGAGCCTACAGCTCAATGACCTAAATGTGCATTTTACCAGTTTCAAAATCTCCCCACCCTGGCCTCATCCCATGACCAATCCTCCCTCTCATCCCCACCTCTTTGACCTGATGCAACCTGTCCATCTTCTCTCCCACCTATCCACCCCTCCCACCTCACTGACCAATCCCCACCACTCCCTACCTGCACTCGCCTATCATCATCCCACCTACTTCCCCAGCCCCACCCCTTCTCTCTCTCTTTATTTCTGAGCTCCCTTCCCCCTCCCTATTTATGAAGAAGGGGCCTGACCCGAAACGTCAACTTTTTTGCTCCTCTGATGCTGCCTGGCCTGCTGTGTTCCTCCAGCTCCACACTGTGTTATCTATGTCTTGTCTTCATTTTGTTTTAATGTGTTCAATAGTCTTTCCTGTGGGCATATGCATTGACCCATTGAAACCTCAACCAGGATAGGGAATGCTGGCTGAGAAACTATAAAGAACACAGGTTGCACAAATCTTCACAGGCAGCAGCAATGCACACTACATCAGTGCTAATTGGAAGATGTGGGCCATTATTTTCACTTCCGTTCATTACTTGCAGAGTTATCCATATCAATACTTCATTCTGAGACAGTGATGTATGTGTAGCAAAATATGCTCCTTCATTGTGTTCCAATGACATGCAGTCAAATGGACTACATCTTCATATTGCATTGTATGCTGCTGACACAGTATTCCTCTTATTCTATATGGATTTGCCTTTAAGCATGAATATTATAATCAAGATAAAATGAGGCTAAGCAGTGTGGTGTTTGGTCTTTCATTTTTGTAAATTTATTTCATTCATAACGTGTGGAATTAAAAACTAGTGAAGCAATGCTATCAAAATACCTTCGTTATTTGGGGTGCTTTTTAAACACAAGTTAGACGATCTCCTGTACTTTTCCTTGTGGTGAGTAGTAGAATATATTTTATAAAGATAGGGAGGTGTTGTCAACAAACTGTTACAGATCTTTGCTATATGTAAAACTCAGATTTCTTGTGTTGTTTACATTGAGTTGTTTAAGCTGCTGATATTTATTTGCACCTGATTATGTCTATATTTATATTTATATAGATATGTCTATATTGTTTATGAAGCATGAATATTGCTGAATTTATGCTTTTGTAGCTATTCATTTGTGTTAGGTATGTAGATCGTTTCTAATCAATCTATTCAGAGATGATCTTGCGTACCACTTGTGCAGATGGGACTTAAAACCAGGTCTCATGGCTCAGAGGTAGGGACACTAGCACAGCACCATAAGAGTCCCGTGTTAGATTTCTACGCTTGTGTTAAAGGAGTGTTTGTATTGAGTTAATGCTTATTACAGTGTGTATGTGCTTGTGAATGTGTTGGGTTGTGTGTATGTATTTTTGTAGTTGCCTGTTTCTTTTATAATGTGCATGATTGTATTTGCAAGCAAATATTTACATTTTTAATTAAGGTGAATTGCAAATGTGCAATAATTGGAGGAATTCACCGTAATAAGTTGGGTCACTCATGCCAGTGTTTCACCAGATTTGAAGATTGAATAACAGGTATTCCGGTTGCACAATAGGCACAAGCAATGCCTCAAAAGTTGCACTGTATCCTGATCGTTAGAAAAAGAGAAGTTTCAGATTTTCTGTATATTTCTTTTCCAGATACAGCAAAATATTAATATATTGATCCTGAAGAACATTCACTCTGACAATATAAAATTATAAAAAGCATCAACCTGAAGGAATTTGTTTCAAAAATCACTCCCAATTTAAAATTCTACCAAAAGTCAAATATACAATATCAATTACATTGAAAACAAAAGTTGCACTGGCTTTTCATTATGGAATGAAAATGGTCACAGAATAAAATTTGCCAAATTACTATCTAAAGTTGAAGAAGAATCAATAAATATGAATAAATGACATGTTTATGCCAACATACGCAGCATTATAAGTCATATTGTGACCATATGCACAAATCCTTAAAGGTGGTGTGGTAAGTTGATAAGGTGATTAGAAAAGCATATGGGTTACCCAGGTTTATAAAGAGATGGGTGTTTTTGTTTGTTTGTTGGATGTTGTCATCACTGACAATGCCAGCATTTATTGTACATCTGTAATTATCCCTAAGAAAGTCATATTTTCTTGAACAATTGCTATCCTTTTTAAGTGTTGGTACACCCACAACAGAGAATATAAATGCCAAGCGATCAAGCCAGAACTTTTACAAATAAGCTGCAGCTGGAATATTGTAGACAGGTCTGGCACCATAGTAAGGAAGATATGAAGAATATAGAGAAGGTTTACTAGGGATGAGACCTTAGTGTAGGGTGCAAAAGTTGGAACTGTTTCCTTCGCAACACATGATCAGAAATTGACACCATTGCGGTTTCCAGGAGGATGAAAGGGTGACTGGTTCAATAACCATAGTTCACAGATCTAGACGAATTATCAGGAAATGAAGTGTTATAATCCAGAAATGTGGTGGAAGCCAATTCCGTAAAAGTGCTTTCAGAGTCATAGAGGTATACAGCAAAGAAACAGGCCCTTCAGCCCAGCTCGTCCATGCCGACTAGGTTTCCTAAACTGAACTAGTCCCATTTGCTAGCATTTGACCCATAACTCTCTAAACCTTTCCTATCCATGTGCCTGTACAAATACCTTTTAAATGTTGTAATTGTACCCATCTCTACCACTTCTTCTCGCAGCTCATTCCATATAGATACCACCGTTTGTGTGAAAACGTTGATCCTCAGGTCCCTTTTAAATCATTCTCTTCTCAGCATAATGCCCTCTAGTTTTGGACTCCAATGCCCTGGGGGAGAAACCTTGGTTATTCACCTTATCTAACCCCTCATGATTTTATAAACTTCTTTAAGATCAAACCCAGCCTCCTACACTCCAGGGACTAAAGTCCCAGCCTATCCAGCTCTAGTGATTGGAACCAGTTGGATCTTGTTGACTACGAGATCCTCGATTTGCATTGTTAACCTGGGCCAGTCAGGAAAGCCCTGGCTGACCAGTATAACCAGGAGATTTGGAATCTCCTCAGTTCAGGGGACTGACTCCAAGCTGGCTGGCCACAATTAGTGTACTATGCACAAGTAAATAAAGAGTGACTCGGTGACGGAATATTGGCCTTTGTGCAATTATTTCACCAGCCTCTCCTTATAACTCAAACCTTTCGTTCTTAGTAACTCCTTGTAAAACTTTTTTGTATCCTTTCCAGTTTAATAACATCCTTCCTATAGCAGGGTGCCCAGAATTGTAGATAGTACTCCAAACATGGACTTACCAATGTCTTGTGCAGTTGTAACATGACATCTCAATTCCTGTGTTTGATGTTTTCTGCCTGATGAAAGTAAGTGTGCCAAATGCCACCTTCACTACCTTGTCTATCTGTGATGCCACTTTCAAGGAGCTATATACCCGCACCCTTAGGGTATTTATTGAACAACACCCACCAGAGCCTTGCCAATAACTGTGCAATTCCTGCCCTCATTTGTCTTACCAAAATGCAACATCTTCCATTTATCTGAATTAAACTCCATCTGCCATTCCTCAGCCCATTAATATAGTTGATCAAGTTCCATTGTACTGTTAGATGACCTACTTCGCTGTCCACTGTACCACCAATTTTGGTTTCATCTGCAAACTTGTAAACCATGCTTCCAGTATTCTCATCCAAATTGTATATAGAAAATGACGAACAGCAGTGGACCCAGCATTGATCGTTGTGGCATGCCACTGTTCACAAACCTCCAGTCTGAAAAACAACCCTCTGTCTCCTACTGTCCAGCCAATTTTGTATCCAATTGGCTAGGTCTCTCTGGATCCCATGTGATCTAACCTTACTAACCAGTCTACTGTCTGGTACCTTATTGAAGACCTTGCTAAAGTCCATTTAGACAACCTCAGTCATACTGCCCTCATCAATCTTCTTGGTCCCCTCTTCAAAAAAAATTCAATCAAATTTGTGAGAATGATTTCCCATGCGTAAAGCCTTGCTGACTATCCTTAATTAGCCCTTGCCTTTCCAAATGCATGCAGACCCTGTCTCTCAGAATCCTCTCCAAAAACGTACTCGCTACTTACGGTAGGGTCACCGGTTTGTAGTGCCCTTGCAGCTATTCTTAAATAGTGGCACCATCTTAGCCACCGTCCTGTCTTCTGGCACCTTACCAGTGGTTATCA